ACTCTGCTCGGCCTCTCTGAATGTAGTAGGCACTAACTCATCGATACTCTCCACCGGAAGTGCATACGCAACTGTGTCGGCATACCGTGCTGGCATCTGTATGTTTCTCCTCTGTCTCCTAGCCGCAATAGAATCCTGAACCTGAGCCGTCGGTTCCTGATCCTGCACATTTGTACTCGTATCCTCCGTGTCATCGTCGTGCTCGCCTGGCGTCACCTCAGTCGGCACCTGCATGGATACTGTACCATCTGGACAATGTGGAGCTGCATCGATCTCCACCACCTGCGATATCTCCTCCGTCGGGTCGCTCTCCACCTGATGAGAGCTGGGAAGCTTCAAGATAGAAGCCTCATCAAATGTGACGTCCCTACTCAGAACAATCTTTTTATCAACTGGATCCCAAAGCTTGTATCCCTTGACACCACGCTTGAATCCTACAAATATGGCCTTCCTAGCTCGAGGTTCCAATTTATCAGTTCTAACATGATAATATGCAGGGCACCCGAATACCTTGAGCTGGTCATAGTCATGTGCTGGCTTTCCCGACCACATCTCCATAGGGGTTTTCCCCTCAATCGCAGATGAAGGCAGCCTATTAATGAGGTGGCTCGCATATGTAAGTGCCTCAGCCCAAAAGATCTTCTCCAAACCACTCTGCGACAATAAGCATCGGATCTTCTCCAGTAAAGACCGATTCAACCTCTCTGCCACCCCATTTTGCTGCGGTGTATGACTAACTGTGAAGTGTCTCTCTATGCCCTCGTCTCGACATAGCTGCTGAAAGGGGTCAGAAGTATACTCACCACCGTTGTCGGATCGCAACGTCTTGATCTTTCTCCCAGTCTGCAGTTCCAATCTCTTCTTCCACTCCACAAACAAATCTAGGACTTCACTCTTCTTCGTCATGGTGTACACCCAACAACGCCTAGAATAGTCATCTACAAAAGTGACGAACCAATGTCTACCACCAAGTGATGCAGTCTTGGTGGGACCCCAAACGTCTGTGTGCACGTAATCCAGGATGCCCCTCGTCTGATGAATGGCAGTCCCGAACTTCACCTTCGTCTTCTTGCCAAGAACACAGTGCTCACAGAACTCAATCTTCCCACTCTTGGCTCCCTTCAATAGCCCCTGCTTGCACAATGTCTGCAGTGACTTTTCACCTGTGTGCCCCAATCTATAGTGCCAAAGTCTGCTCATGTCCGCTTCTGAAATAGCCGAAGCAACCTGGCCAATCTCGGTGCTTCCCTTCAGATAATACAAATTCCGATTGCGGACTCCCCTCATCACCACCAATGATCCCTTAGTAACCTTCGCTACAGCGTTTTCGAAAGTCACCTTGAATCCCTTCGCCTCCAAAGCTCCAACTGAGATAAGATTTTTCTTCAGTTGAGGAACAAATCTCACCTCCTTCAACTCACGGACTACTCCATCGTGCATCCTAATCCGCACGGTACCTATCCCACAAACGCCACAGGATTGATCATTTCCCATGACAACAACGCCCCCGTCGACTTTCTCAAAAGATGCAAACCAGTCTCGCCTAGGGGTCACATGAAAGGTAGCGCCGGAATCAAGCATCCAATCTGATGCATCCACATGGTTCACCTCCGGAGTAATCAGTAGAGAAAAGCACGAATCATCGGAATCATCGCCTTTCGCAATGTTCACCTCATTGGCCTTCGGGCCCTTTTTCTTGCTATTCTCCTTCTCTTTGAGCTTCGGGCAGTCTCTCTTCCAATGTCCCTGCTCCTTGCAGAATGCACATTGGTTCTTTGTTAGTTGGTGACGGCCTCTAGACTTTGACCTCCCTCTGTTACCACCTTTCGGATATGGGCTTCTACCTCTTGTCGACAAGGCCTCTCCTGAAGTACTAGCGCGGGAAGTCTCCTTATCCTTCCTCCTCAAATCGTAGTTCGTCAAAGCGTTAGTCACTTCACTATAGCTGATAGAAGATCTCCCGTTCAACAAAGTGAGCACGAAGGTATCATACTCCTCATCCGGTAAGGAGCCCAACAAAATAATCGCCTTGTACTCATCCGATATCTTCTCATCAACATTCGCCAAGTCCGACAACAACTTCGTATAGTTGTTCACATGAGCCGCAAGCGAGGTGCCTCTGGACATCTGGAATCTGAATAACCTACGCAGCAAGTGCAATCGGTTCTCAACACTCTTCGTAAGGTACTTATTGTTGAGAATTTCCCACATCTTCATCGCAGACGTCACCCCAATCACATCATACTTCAGCTCCTGTTCCAAACAGGACCTGATCACCCCACAAGCGTTCCTATTCATTTTCTCCCATACCGCCTCTTCATATTTAGGTGGCCTCTCGTGGACCATGATGGTCTCTTCCAAATTTTGAGCATTTAACGCATCCTGTACGTCGCTCATCCACAAACCAAAGTTGATTTTTCCGTCATATTTCACCACACTAATTTTGGTGTTTTGAAAACCAACTTGTATTGTACTCGCCATTGATTTGCTGCTTTCACCTTCTTCTCCCATTGCGAACTAACTCCAAATTGTAGAGAAAGAACAAATTTGATAGAATTAGGAACCACCCAACTGAACCCTAGATCGGATTCCAAATAGATCTCCTATCCACACGAGGAAAGCGAAATCTCCAACGGCAACTCCTAATGCTATCTCCACCGAAGCCGAGAACTCCAAGAACTAAGCTTCACACAAGAATCTTCCTCCACCAAAAAACCCTAGATCTGAAATCTGGGCTCTGATACCACTTGTTGCGCGCAGCGAAAATTTCGGCAGCACTTCGGCAGCACAACAAGAGAGTCAGGTCGCAATAAGAATTCTTGTTTCTCAAAGGGAACAAGAATCTGAAGCCTATATCCTATCAGCTATTACAAATCACACAAAAGCAATACAACCAATTTTTACGTGGTTCGGCAAATTGCCTACGTCCACGGGGCAAGGAGGGGGGAGATCTACTAATAGAGGGAGAGAATACAACTAGGGTTTACAATCACTCTCAATCTAAACCCTCAAACAAACTCTCAAACCCCTCATACAATTATCTCTCTCAAAAGGTGCACAAAAGCCTTGCACACCTGCTGCTTCTCCTCTGTGTTCTTCAACTGCAGTCGCAAAAAGAGAAGAAAAAACCAAAGCTCCCACAGCCTGCACGCCGCTTTTCACCTTTGCATGCAGCCGCAATCAAAATCCTTGCTCGCCTCCAATAGCTACCGCAAAAAAAAAACCTAATAAAATAATGTTTATATAGGGAGCAGGCAGTTGGTTCGTGGGCCGGATTTGTTTCTGTGCACGAAAACAAATCCATGCGGAAACAAACCGCGTTCTTTTCCGTGTGGTAGACCCCACACATCACACTCATCTTTATCGCAAAAGAGTTAAATCACATGTAACTTAATTAAGTAGATGAATAGACAGATAAATGGAGAAAAAAATATTAAGTTTTAATCTTTTTTATGTTAAAGTGATCAATTGAGCACAAATTCCTTATCTCATTCTCTTCTGAATGTTGTCGACGATGATCTCCGTCTCATATACAACTAAACCATACAGAATACAGCAATAGTGCTTGAAGATGGAAAACAAATGTTCCTCCTTTGCAGCATATTTTGATTAGTTTTGAAACAACTGTATATGTTTCAATTCAATTCATTGCTATGGTCTTCTGAACTTCAATGACTGTTTTTATTTTTCAGCATCCGAAAGAAAATCATACCTCAAGAGCTTCAAAGTTCAACATCAGTTCACAGTCCAGATCAACTGCTAAAACAAAGACTGAAACCAGCTCCAGTTCAGAATCAGGTTCTTCTCTTTTTCAAATGCTGAGGCAATCATCTGTGTAGTTTGATAGACACTTGAATCAAAGCAAAGCTAGCCATCAAAATATCACAGAGAGTCAAGCTGCATGCCTATCAATTTTCAGCCTTTAAATTGGGAAAAAGAGCCACAAAAGTAGAATCCAGGGTATGATGCCTAAGAAGAGAACCAATTTGAGAATATATCCTTTAGAATGGTTCATTACATTGTTTTTAGAGTAATAATTTATTACACATGTTTGTGGTAAACTTTTTGTAGATTATTTTCTTTATTTTTCCATGCTTTTCAGTGCTAAAATTGCATACATTGCAGTAATAAGTCCCTGGAATATAGGTTATGCATAGTATCTCAATTTTTACTGCTTAGGAAATTATTCACATAAGCCCCCTCGAATATCTCTGGTCTCACAGTGATTGCTTGGGAAAAGCCTTAACATATTTAATTCTACAATTAAGGGACTAGTTTATTTGGAAAATCTTTCATACAAGGAATGTGCATAATGACTTCCAATTAACCCAAATCAATTTGAGATCTAATAGGGTACAAAATATATTCAGTAAAAAAATTTCCTTGTCTTTTGGACATTAAGAAAACTTCATAAATTTGTAAGCATATTTATTTCTCTTATTAAGTTTCAAGGGATATAAATGAAACTACAACTAATTAATGAATTAAGAATTAACTTTCACTCACAAAAGAAGCGTGTGCAAGTTTTCAAACCAAATATTTTTAACAAGTAAAAGTAATTTTTAGCTACATACTTTAATATTCATGAACTATGAATTATTTTTCAAATAAATAGAGCGTAATATTCAATGTATAGTAGTGAAGATTCAAAAAGTATTTGCGGTCCTATTCAAATTCAAAGAAATTCAGAGCGACAAACTTGGTTCGATTCGTTGCTAGCCCTATTTATAAATATTGAAAGATTATTCCTTGAGAGTAACGAACTAACTAATTTTACAAAGTATTTAAGAAAAAAGAAATAAAGAGAGAACGTGAATGCTCTTTACCATACACAGCACACAATTCAAACTTTCCTTAAGATCATCTTTGAATCCTCTCAACAAAAGAGTTCCAAACAAAAAAACCTAATAAAATTACTAAATGAACAAATAAAAAACTAAACAACCTAACCAAAAACTAAGCACGTCTTATTCAACTATATGTATCAAACTAAACCTATATTAAAACGACCATTCCTCATAATCCTCACCATAACCAAACCCATTACTCCCATTAGCCATAATACTATCATCGTTAATAAAAGGAAGAGTAGAAGGGGGAGGTGGCAAGTACAACTGCCCCTGATTCTGCCCGAAATTACCAAGATACCCTCTATGGTACGGAACCGGATTTCCCGCCATACAAAACTCAAAAGTAGTAGGGGGAGGAGCAACCCTCTGATGGCTCATCATCACCACCTCCACCTCCCTCTTCAAACCCTCCAGCCTCATCTTCAACCACTCGAGCCCCTCCAATCCGACCCCGTCGAGCTGCCCGTCTCCGAGCCAAACCTCCTTCATCACCCTCTCCAACTCCCCCTTCCTCTTCTTCTCTGCCTCGTACTTCGCCGTCAACGACGAATACCTCTCGTTGAGGCCCGAGACATTCAACGTGACCCCTCTAGAAGTCGAGGTATTTTCCCTTGGCCCGTTGGCCCGGCCCATTAGGTACCGGTCAACGACGTAGTCGACGGAGGGGTGGCCGAACGAGAAGGGCTTGCCTGCCGGAGAGAAGACCAGGAGACTGACCTGAGCGCCGCAGAGGATGGAGAGCTCGTTGGCTTTCTTGAAGAGGCCAGCGCGGCGCTTTGAGAAGCACACCTGGCGGGATTCCTCGTTTTCGATGCGCTTGATTTCGATCTTCTGGCGGCCGATGCTCGGCTTCCTTTGCCTCTTGGTTGCCATTGTGTTCGTGGAGTTTGAGAGGGGTTGAAGATTCAATGAGGAGATGAGTCTATATAGAGAGTGATGGGATCGCGTATGATTTGATTACCTTATATAAATATGGGTTGATTGAATTAATCAACTATGTTAATTAACATATTTTTTGATAATTGATGTACATATGATTAGTTACTTTGTATATAGCTTTGAATTGAGAATTAAGGGATCAGCCAATTAATGAATGATTGTATGAAAATATTCTGATTGGAGAAGATGACATAAATGGCAATGATGCTAATATCTGTTCAGATTTGATTGGTTGTGTTTTGGTTTTGCCTGTGAAAACTCACTCGGGACTAATTTTTGTTCGCCTTCATAATTAAACATAGTTCTCCCACGAAGTAAGGTAAGGTGCTTATTTGATTGTTATAGCTTGAAGAAGATAAAGGGAACGTTTCTTAATTAATTTGCTTATAATATTATTCACGTCATGATTTGATATTTTTTTTAATTGATTTTCCATTGCATCAGTTAGTCGAAAGACTTTCCACATTTGACAAAATCTCTAGTATATTTCAACCCAACAATTAAGGACCCAGTTATTCCAATCAGTAACCAATAAACCTTCTACGACCGAAAACATCAAAAAAATTAAGGAAAAGGAAAAAAAAAAAAGAGGCAACACTTATTAGAGCTTGAGGAGGAGATTTGGCTTGGAGCTCATTCTCGACTTTGGATCAATCTCATGAGCAAGCATACTTCCCTTCTCAACCTTCGTGTCTTTTCTTTATCAAAATTTTCCTTCCATCCAGATATATTCCTAAAATAATCGTGTCTAATAGTAATTGATGGTTATTATTTTGTATGCGTAGCCTAGAATATTTTATTTTTGTTAACTATTAGATTTTCAGAAACATGATTGTACATATGCTTTCATTAATTAATTCTTGGATTGTGCACAATTCAATTAGACTATTCCACTTGCTCTTTTAATTTATTACCTTATTAATTAATTATATTTCGTCTGGGTCCAGAACACAGGTTACGGTTAAGGTCAAACTTGCTGGAGGTTAAATAATCAATATCAGTTGACAACTATGGTCGTTCATAGTCCTTCACTTACTGGGGTTTATTGCTAATAATTATGAGCCCGGCCCTCTTTGTGATTACTAATCGATGATATTTATAATGACAGCACGGTGCTAAGTGTGAGTGAGTTCCCCATGGTATTCATGGCTAATGACTCGAGTCATTATTTATCAAATCAGTAAGTGGAAGTTAGTCTTCATACATTGAGTTTTATTTCTTTAAGTTTATTATTTCTATATGTATAAAATTATGTATATTCTGAGATTTAATCAATATATACATATTAATTTTTTGGAGGGTAAATATCTCATAAATTACAAGTATCCTATATTTTAATATAGAGTATTATTCCTAAATAAAAAGTAATTTTAATATATGATGTCCAAATTTTGTTTACTAAGACGATGTTAATTATCGAACAAGGTAGTATTTCCTTACGGTGTAAAGTATCAATTTCAATATCTTTATTTGGAATACGATAATTTCAAATCAAAGGGATTTATGTAGTCTAGGAAATTATTTGTTTTAAAAGAAGACATTTCATAACCAATTTCTAATTTCTTGGTAACAGAAACATTTTTGTGGAATTGTTTTTTTTTTTAAGCTATCTTATGATACATATACCCTTTAACTAATTAACATAAGCATGTTAACAAGATAGTATGTTAGAGTTAAATTTCACAAGAAAATGTTCTGTCAAAACAAAGTACTCTTAATAGGTAAATATTTGCTTAAAATAAAAATTCTAATCTTTGTTCCTACAAACTTCAGCTTTAGCAAATTTGAGCCAAGTGCAACCGCTGGGTACAATAACATTATTAGGAACCCACATTACTTTAGTCATGAGCCCTTATTCGCTATGTTACACGTGTCATCCAAGCCTTCACAGATAACTGAAATGTTTCTTCGTGAACAATTTTTATCCATTAAGTAATTAAATATGCTTGCTAGATTCACTAAAATAAATTTCACAGGAATGGACACTAGTATGAATTGAACCATCATAGTTTTAGCTATCAAACACACTCTGGATATATAGTAGTAACTAGATGGAGATAAATTTCAGTCTTGCCTTTACAAGTTTATGCCTGCTTAGATGCTAATCTATATTTGATTATGAGGATTCCATACGTAACATAGAGTCTACTCTTTTATGTAGACAACTAGTTATCTTGGATTTGATTTTAGGCCTACAGTACTCCATATAATGCTATATATATAATAGTTATATTTTTATTCTTAACAAACTTTTTTCTAACTAGATCTGTTTGTACGGATTTTTTTCTCTAATAATTGAAAAAATTGTATATGATAAAAAGATGTATTTTTATGTAGTTTTTAAAAAAAGTTATTTTCTATCTAAGCTAATGATCAAATCTTAAATGTAAAAGCTTAATTTATTTTGCCGCAAGTGATTTCCTCGGTAGTGATTAATATATTTTTACAATTTTCATAGAAAATAGGAATTGTAAAAGGAAACTTGATTCGAATTAATCGATGAGCATCAAAAAGAAAAGTTGTGTTTGATCCATTTGGGGTTATTATCAAAATCTAGTTTTTATTATGAAATACCATGACTCCATCATTAGAGCATTTTTTTTCAAAAATCATGATTCTTCCTCGAAATATTTCTACGAAAACAAGACATTTGATTTTAACAAAACTATTTGATTAGATATTTTCTTGAAATCAATCCAATACAAGATTTTTTTTTTTTTTTACAAATGTTGTTCTGGCCAACAGGGTCATCAAAGCAAAACCATTTAAGTCCAGCTAGCTAGTTCCTCTGGCTGAACTTGGATGTTTTTCTTCATGGGGATTGTAGTCAGTCATGATATAATTAAGTAGACGTGAACTCTTTTGACGCCTCAGTTTAGGCTAGTATATTAGCACCGCCAAGTCATGAGGAAAGATCTACGTAGCTCGACTCAATTAATGTAGGTATATGGTATAAAATCCATCAAGTGATGCACGTGCATTTGACTAGCAGCATATATACCTGAGAGTTCAAACACACACATACAAAATTTCATTTGAAGAGTTAAAGTCTTAGTCGCTTGATTGAGAAAGACTAAGAATGTGTTGAATGTCAACCTCCTAGCTAAACAACAGGTTTATGAGAACTTTGTGCATACATGTATTCAATTATCATCTGTAATGTTAGTACTTTATATTTGCAGTATTTGATTGACTCAATGATCAAAGCTTAAGACTTGATAAAACTAAGTGAGGAAAGGCATCAATCATGATGTTATGCTAATTAGATGGAGCTTCACCTGTAGTATTGAATATCTCAATTCTCAATCAGTTCTTGTCATCAATCCCAACTCCCAAGTATGATTCTCGAATATCATACACATAATTAGTGAGGAGGCTTAAGAAGTTGTTGGAGGCATGAATCGTAAGACAATAACAGTATAAGCCTAAGGATTTATTTGGAGGACATCTAAGAAGTATTCCTAGGTAAATAAGAATCTAATGATTTGTGATTGATTGGATCTTAATAATTGGTATTAGATTTGATCTTGGATAAAATGATTGATGTTCTAGATTGAGATAAATTGGATCTTGATTGATTTGCCGATTGGAATTAGGATATGAATTGAAGTTGTACATTGAACAATTTAAGTTGGGATTTTATAGGAGTATATCATAAATTAGTTCATGATCCCAGGGGACATGTGATGAAATAGTATTACTAATAAGGAAAAATGTCCATAAGGTGATAACTTGGGCTCAGTCTAAAGAAGCACATCTTGATCCATAGATTAGACCATTCTAATAGATGATCCACTTCATTCATCATGATCTAAATGTCTCAAAATATCTATAAAACAAAAAACATGATTCATTGTCTCTTCGGTTATATTGTTGTAAAACTATTGATTTTACAATCACTTGATGCAGAAATAACTACAACCTAATACGCCTATTTTGTGTTTATACACAACCCAAACTGTATAAGTCAAAATGAATAGAGTGGATAAAGTAAATTGATTGCGTATAATATAGTTTTGGAGACACTTCCTTAGATTGAATTTAAGGTATCACCTTAGGAACAATTTTCCCTTACTAATATTAAATCAATTTTGTGTATTGAATTTGATATGGATAAATCGATGATGAATTTATGATGATTCGAATATTGAAATTGAGTAAGGGGCTGTTTGTTTGCCTAAAAAAGAGGGAAATCAAAGAAATGGGAAACTATTTCTAAGAGGGAAATCAAAGAAATGGAAAACTATTTCTAAGAATTTTTTTTTTTGGAATGTTTGGTTAGGTAAGAAAAAGAAGGAAATCAAAGAAATAGAAATGAGATGATGTTAGTTGTCACCTTATTATAGGATGATATGAGTGATTTTTTAAGAAAAATTGTTTTGATGTTGTTTGGTTGGCCAAAAAAATAAGAAAATGAATTATAAGAAACATATTTCTTGTAATAGGTTGTTTTCTTTTGTTTGGTTCATTCTTAAAAGGGTTGTGCTTTTTGGCTCACGCTTTAACGTGCGAGCCAACTCGCACAGAGACAGGGGGTGGGCCCCACTAGCACTGTTTCACGTGTGAGTTGGCTCGCGCGTTAAAGCGCGAGCCAAAAATCATTTTTTTCTTAAAAATAAAAAAGTAGATGATATGAGATGAGTTATCATTATATTATTGGATGATGTGACTCACATTTAAGAAAATCGTTTTCCTAGCTTTTTAGGAGGAAATGAGTGAAAATAAAATGTTAATGAGATAAGATGAGTTGTCATCATCTTATTGGATGATGTGAGTGATTTAAAATGATGAGATGAGTTGAGTGATGTTGTGGATGAAAATAATATTTTATTAGATATGGTGGATGAGTAGTTGTTGTGTAAAAATAATATTTTATTAGATGTGATGGATGAGTTGTTGGATAAAAATAATATTTTATTGGATATTGTGGGTGA